CACAGTGTGGTTCAGAATAAGGTCTGGTAAAAAAGTGTCACCTCTCCTGGACCAAATAAAGTGCAAATGCCTGGACTGCATCAAATGGCAGTGGACAACTCTGCTGGGTTTCCATTCATTTACAAGAACTTACGAAGTTCTGCTTCCTTATGTGCAGAGAGAAGAGATGCAGGAAGAGCTTCACTACTTAAAGGCCCCTTCTAATACCTCTCCTTGGGCTTAGACACATCCCACTATGGAAGAGTAATTTGAATTGTAACTTCCTGCTCTAAGCCTTTTGTTTCTCAACTCGAACTGTCATTCTTCCCTAGTCATTCACCTTCATCCAGCCATGCCCCTTCACCCAGCCAGCTAGAAATACCAGAGCAACCTTTTTCTTCTGGGCAGATGCATCATTTTGTGTTCCAAGTTCAGAATTTGCAGTTTATTTCACCTGCCCACTTCCATAAAAGACATTAAAAAATATTTTCAGTGAAAACCAGCAGTTTCAGTCAACCTCTGTGCCAAGAACTAACCCAGACCATAACAACAATAGTCTGTAACAAATATTGACATTTTGGGTGCAATACTTCCTGACAACATAGAAGAGACAGAATGCAACGACTACAGCAAACAAGAAATCAGGGTCAGAATCTAAACAAATACTCAGATTCCCCAAATATGAGAGGTTCCCATCACCCATTTGGTGACGGTTAACGAGACAAGTTTGTCAAATCCTATAACCAGGATAAAACTCTAACAAAAACATAGGTAGCCTAACACACACTAGAGGAAAAGACAGAGAGGGATGTTTGCTGCTAATCACATCTCTCATTACCACCATCCTTCAGATGTATCACCTTCCAGTAGCCATTCTAAAGGACAAAGTATCTTCACAGGATAATATCTTTCCTGTATTGATCTCAAGAGCACTTAACAGAGTAGGTGGCACAACCTCAGGAATTACAAATTTTTCTAAGCTGAGAACTTCTACTGCAATGCTTCAAAACAAATTGCATTTAATATTTTAGACTACACCACTTAAAAAGACATAATGTAATACCACTTAGGGGGCCCCTCCATGTCCAAACTTTCTAACATGAAAAGTGCTAGCGTTTAGTGTTTTTAACATGGTTAGTCTTTTCTCACTATTCTAAGACTTTCCTTCTAAGTATGGAAATTGAAATGAGCATTGGCTCTTCAGTTATATCTGAATTTTAGAATTATTCTTTGGGTCTATTTAAGGAAATGCATACACAAGATTCTTGTAATAAAATTTTTGTCAGAGTTGTGGTGGAGCATAAGTGCATAGCTTTGGAAATTTTGGAGTCTTTTTCCCTCATTTAAACTGACTCATTCCCTCTTATTCAAAAACCCACTAAATTACAAGTAGATTCCCAGCTGGATGATAACATAACACATTCTCTTTTAGCCCAAGTCTTTACAGTTCACTGTTACAGCAAAAGGAATCTCCATAATCTACAGCTAGGTGCACACCAAGCTGCTGTTTGTCTCTCTAATCTCTTCTGTAAAATCATCAGATACTGCATCTGGCTGGGATGAAGATGAACCTCGAGCCAGGCAGCAGTTGTTCTCAGCAGCAGAGTTAAAAATGCCAGACTGCAATGCTCTTTTTGGACACATTCATGAATCTTCCCACATGGCCCCACTGCAGGACTGAATCCACCACGTAACCTACCTTTCCCCAGCGTCATCACCAATTCTCAGAGTCTTCTTGTAGCAACAAGTTGTTTTCCCATATTTATAGCTCCAAAGCCTCCATAAAATCACAAATAGAAGCACATTTCTCTTTCAGACCTCTCTGCATTAATGAAAGCCTCCAGTCTCCATACCGTAATGGTGCATATAGAAATGCACAGTGAAACCTGCTTGCTGTAACACCGAGCACCCTTCTTTGCTCCTCGGGGATGGCACTAGCGCCCTCTGCTGTCACACAGCAGCACCAGAGTCAGCTGAAACCCTTGTCACTTTCCAGGGACAGCTTTCTAGATCTTCCACTCAAGATCCTCAGCCATAAAACCTTACAATGACATTCTGCAATGAAGTCCGCACTTCAAGAAAGTTCATTTTCCAAGACAGTGACTGTGTCTAGAAATAATTACCCAAAATGAGGTTATTATATCAGTTATATGCACTGATCAAACACATAAAATTACACTAGGATGACAGGAAATCAAAGCCATGCTAATAGAGCTATCAACTTCTATAAATTCATCAATAAATCACTGATATTTCAATGTTTGTCTTAAAACCCCATCTCCTAAACTCTTGTGATTACACAAGACTCAGTTTTGATTTTTTCTCTAGATGCTTTTTGTTCTCTTGGTTGCAGGGAGAAACTTGAAAACATTAATTTCAGAAATCCAGAAGGCAAGTAAATTTAAAATGTAACATCACATGATTCTCATGTGGTTTTCTTCTTTTGTAAAGTGGTCCCAAAATGTCCTACAGCAGCTGGCTAGCAATACCCAAACACATTCAAACCAGTATTTTCAAGGCTTCCTGTGGCCACAACTGCAGGCCTTTGAGCCAACCCAGTACTGAAGCAGCAGCAACTCCAGAACAAAAGGAGAGCAGTCAGCTCTCCAGTGATGTTCTCAACTTTTAAATTGCTAGATTTAGAAAAGTTCATTAGTCTGACCTGCTGCGTTGATCAGTCCTAGGCCACACAAAATCATCTCAAAACAAGATCTATGCAGCATATCCATATATAGAGTCTATATTGACCAAAGACCTCTTTTTATTTTTTCTTTATAGATGAGGGTCATCTATCATTCTTCTTTTCCCAGGAATTGTATCATCATCACTGGCAACAGCATTTAATCGTAAACCAAAAATGGGAATGGAATACAAAAGGGATTCCTTCAAGACGAGGATTACAAAAACATATATACATACCAAACACAAAAGACAGAAACAACATTAAGATCAAAAGCAAACACACAGAAAGAGATAATAGTATCATTTGCAGTACTTTAGGTGAAGGATCACAATCCACACTAATAAAAAGAGAAGAGAGTTTGCTGAATATAGAAATGCACATATTTTACACAGGGTCAGTAAGCCTGTGATGGAATGGCAGCTGTACAAAACTGCAGGAATCAAAGCTGAGTACGTTCATTTACATTACACTTAAAAGTTTCAGAGAAATACAAATGTTTCAGTTCTTTGTAAGAGAAGATATGCTTCCTAAAATAGAGAAAAACAAGTAGTAAAAATAGACACGGATTACCAAGCCAATGTGAAACTCTTACTCTTCTGGTGTTAGTACAAAATTAACAGTATCTATAGCTTCAGTGAGCCTACTTGGTTCACCTATATAGAAAAAATAATCACAGTCTAGCTCCTAATTAATACTGCCTTCAAATTACATATTAAATTCAGGCCAAGACTGGAAGATTAAAGTCTTAGTTGAGCTGACCTGAAACCAGATTTTTTGGTTTGCTTTTAATCCTATCAGTAGATAATATTTTCCTTAAAAACACCTACCAACTTCCCAGCTAAAAACAGTCCATCAGCCAACTCAACTTTCCAATTTTGCACTGACTGTAAACAAAAAATACATAAATGTATGATGCTACAAAAACTGAAAAGGACCAGTAAATGCCACTGCCACTTAAGCCACTACCATCATTTTACAAAGCTTCTTTTACAATTACCTGCATCCTTCAAAGTCAATAGGAAACTTCTGTCAACTTAAGTGACTGCAAGGCCAGGCCCTGAGAGAATAATCCTTTCCCAGCTGCACATTTTTAGACTGATGTTGAGTTATTGGTTAAAGACTGATGAGCCAAGGAGGAAAGGAGATGCCCCTTTTACCACTAATATTAAATACACCTGACTAAATACACATCCACATGAACATGAAGAGTAGAGTGGCATTTGTTGAAAATAAGATGCCACCTTCCAGGTAGCAAATAGTTGCCATTCCCAGCACACGCTTTAAAAGAGACAACTGTTGGAGGAATTACACAAAATATAGTTCACTATTTGCCATAATTCAATAAAGGACTTTTTTTTTTTTTTTTAGTAAAATGCCTGATTTATCCCAATTTTCC